TTGTTTTATATTTCTAAGAGTGGTCTAATCCCTTATTTGATCAGACTACTCCTAATGTTTGAACTAGTTATTAATGGTCGACTTAATTAGTACATTTTCTATATGTATTGTGAACTCTTTCTTTTTCAAACGAGTCGAAATTATATATATCCTTATAGAATTCAAATCAAATAATAAAATATAATTGGATAGTGTGTACCCATATTCCAACCTATAAAATATAATATAATGAATTTGAATTGATAATAAAGTAGCCAATAAAAAAAATCAAACCAACTATATATGACTAATGAAATTAGGATTTAATTTTTTATTATAGTTTATATATGAGAGGAGATTGACGAGAATCAAGTCTTGAAGTTGTGGGAAAAGGTGGAAAAGTCGCCAATTCGTTTGTCAATCCTCCTTTGCTCAAATCCACTCTATTGACTGACTTAAGCATGAGTTCCTTTGAATCTTTGGTCCAATTCTATATGCTTAACTACGCATTTTGGGGTGAACACAAAGGATGACCATCTTCCAACTTTATTTTTTATGCAATGTTATATGAAAATTTAACCAGACTTAGTTCGTTGAATTAGTCATGTGTTTTATCGTTGGATGAAATTCACTTTTAATTAAGACTGCTAATCGAGTCAAACTACTCAAGTTCGACTCAATTTATTTTTTAAATGAGTTAAGTTTAAACAATTTTTTAAGTTCGTCGAAAAAACGAGTTCGTAAAATTTAGCTCGTTTATATGTAAAATAGTGAAACTAGTCGAATTTGATTCGAATTCAACTAGTTCTAGGTTCAGTTTAGGCTCTGTTCGTTTTCTAATCTGTCTAAGCTTGAAAATTAGTTTAGACTCATTTAGAAAAACAAATTCGACGTGCCCGGTTCGATTATCAATTTTAATTTTAATTCTAACTTTTATAATTGATCAGTTTATCAAATTATATCCTAGAATGGGTACAAATAGAATTATTTTATTTTTACTCGGTTGTATCGTTATGACTTAAAAATTCTCTTACTTTATACAAAAGCTATGCAATGTTCTACACAATTCAAAGAATCCAACTTCCCCAAAGTTTTTTTAATCTTTTTTTTTAAATGAAAACTTATCAATACATTTCTAACCCATCTATCTAAATCCAACCTCCATCCTTATTCATATGTATTCAAGATCAGTTTCTCATTGTCCACAATATATATTTAGTAAAAGTGGGCCCAAAATTAAAAAAAAAAAGAAAAAAAAAAGAAAAGAAAAGAACAAACGCACATGTCCCTTTCTCTACCTTCTTCCTTCTAGAAACATATTATTTGTTTGGTGTTTTGCCAGGTGGGTTTGGTTCTTCACTAAACATTCAAAAGCTTCAAGACATTAGCATTTAATTTAAAATAAAATAAGTGGCCTTTTTTGTATTAGTTGTTGTTTCAAAATGTGTCGATTTGCTCTTGTCATGGCGTTTCTTCAAGCCCACCTCCACATTATTCCAACCCACGAAACCATTAACATAATCAACATTGCTTCTTTGGAATAGTTTTTAAAAGCACAATACATGAACCCTAATCCCTGGTCTACGTGTGCCTATGAATTGAATTTGGATCGAATCTCAACCAACCTAAATCCAATATTGATTAAAAAGAAGTCTTAATTCAAATCTAATTTGATTATTTGACACATTTTATTTTCAAAGTCTACATACGAATCCATTAAAAACAGTTTCTGGTCTCGAAATTTTGTATTAATCTAAATCTGTGAAATATGATATGACAAATTCGAATGATCTACGAAAATGTCAATTTATATTTGACTAATCTGATTTGAATTAGATGAAAATATGATTCATTGACAAGCCAAACCTTAGGTTAGCCGATAAAATTTTAAGGTTTTAGAACAACCTTAAGTTCACAAGCCACATAATTGAAATGATTCTAGTTATGCAAGCTAATGGGTCAACAAGCACCTTTACCCATTAGCTTGCATAATAGTAATAGAAAAGGAAACAAATTTATACAAGTAGCTTTCTTATTCCTAGTTCATCCACCCATAAGTATCGTATTGGTCCTCCAACAAAAGACATTGTTAGGTTACAAATGCTAATGCGATGTAAACCTAACATGATTCATTTAATGTCACGACTACATAAATTCAAATGAAATTTATTGTATGTATAAGTGTTCTATTAAAGAAGAAACTTGTAAACTTGCGTGTTTTCAATTACACACCTAATATTACAATACCATGGACTTCACGTAATCTATTGAAAACTCTATCAATTATGGAATGTTTCTGATATCCCTATTATCCTAGTAGATTATCAAATTATTCTACCCCCCTCCCGGGCGGTCATGTACCAGATTAATGCTTTACCTTATATAAAGTCACCTCTTTACACAAGGGGATAAATTTATGGACAATGGCCCCAAAGAACTACATTTCGTGGGATATTCGAACCCATAATCTATCCCTCATGAAAAGTTTATTAGGTGATTGAGCTATAACTAGGTTAATCTCTTGTTAGAGTTCAGCTACGAAACGTTATCAACTACAAAACCAATTGAATAAGTTGAGAGACGCACAATGCTCATATACTAGTTTAGGATGAACCAAATATAACAAAACGTTCTCATGGGACAAATAAAGAAAGAATGACATATTATGGAATAATGATTCTTGTCCAAAAGACTCAGTATAGCACAGCTCTGATATCATGTTAAAGTATAAAACTCAAACTCTACCAACATCAAGAGAACCACTTGAAGGAAAAATCCTTTCGTAGTAAACTGGATCTCTAGATATCTTGCCTAACACACGCTTTATTTAGATATATATTACCTCTTATGAGCGATTATCTACGGACTTCTAAAAAAATCTGAGCTAATTGATTTGCTGTTGTACCAAGATAATTTGAGACAAATTACAACTTAATACGTCAAGTTATGATTCAATGAATCTAAAAGTGCTGAGACAATGGTTGAATTGTAATTTAACTTGATTGGATCGTAACTATCACTATTTTATATGTCACTGCATAAAAAAAAACAAACAAGGATGTTTGATTCCAATATTAGGACAATTTAGTGTTAGGCTCATACAAACATCATCAATCCCCTTTATCGGCATTTGAAACATGATAAACAATTCTTTTAGATGTAAAATTCGAGAAAATGTTAATGTAATCGTGATATTATGTCATCACTGTTTAATATTAAATTAATATGTAGACAAATCAACCCTACATGATGTTATCGTTATACTAAATATATAGATACTGATAAATTTATTATTAAAAAACAATGTCACACGACAATTATAATGTTGTGGTATCATTATACTAAATATTTACTCTTGGTGGCGCAGGTGCGCAGTGTGCGTAAGATAGCAAAACTAGAGACGGTGAAGGAAGTTAAAGGAGTAGGGTGAGGAGATATGATATAAAACAGTTATGGTGGTTGGGGGTGGGGATAAGTTTATGGGCAGAGAGTGCTTGAGCGGTGAGGGAAGTGATAGAGTGTGGGTGGGTATGGCCAAGTAAGATGGGTTGGAAGCTGACAACGACCTAACCCTCCAATTTTGGTCAACCACCTCTGTCTGTACTTGTCCTTTTCCTCAAACTTAACTTCACCCCTGTTTAATAACTGGGTCCCTCTATCCTATAACTATAACACCTACTCCCTACCCCCCAGGCCCCAACCCTAACCCCACCCCCACCCCTCTCCTCCCCTTTCTTTCTTCCACACCTGGCCTACATCTATGCACCGTTTCGAGAGAGATTATACATTTGGAGACCCCGGGACACATTTATTTCTAGGGTTTTCACTGATCGTCGTTTGGCTCAAAACTTGTAGGTCCTCTACTAACCGTAACCAGCTCCCACTGCTATTCTTCACTCTCAACTTTTGTTTTGATTCAAATCAATCCCCCGCCCCCTCCCTCTTTTTTTTTTTTTTTTT